GGAAGGTGGTGGATGCTCCTTCGCTGGACGTTTTCAAGCGGAGGCTGGACAACCCTCTTCCGGGTATGTTGTAGTAGGGCTCTCTTTCGGCTCTGCTCCTGCAGAGTGCAGGGGGTTGGACTAGATGACCTGCAGAGTCCCTTCCAACTCTAACACTCTATGACCAGCGGGGAGCACCACAGTCTTCCCTGGGCTGAGCATCAGTTAGTTCACCGGCTCTCATCCACTGCACGAAGAAGAGATTGGCTTTATACCCCATGGCCCTTCACTACCTGAAGGAGTCTCCGAGCGGCTCACAATCGCCTTCCCTTCCTCTTCCCACAACAGGCAGGCGGGGCTGAGAGATCTCCGAGAGAGCTGTGACTGGCCCAAGGTCGCCCAGCTGGCTCCATGTGGAGGAGGAGGAGGAGTGGGAAACCCCCCCCCCCCCGGTTCTCCAGATTAAAGTCCGCCGCTCTTAACCACGACACCAAGCTGGCTCTCAAGGCACCTGTTCTCAGCAGCCAGGGAGAAAGAGAGCTGGCGGCGATTCACGTATTGATGGTGCCTCTCTCCACATCCCTGGATCAGATCTCCAGCGGCTTCATACAGAACTCACGACTGCGCAGGGGAGACAGACCCCCCCCCCCATAAACACTTCAGGACCGACCAACAGCCTTGTAGGACCACCGCAAGTAAGAGAGAGAGACCACCGAACGGGGGGGGGGGGGGGGACCCCCGGCTGCGACCCCCGTGGGAGGATACCGGACGCAGGGGGCAGCACACACACCCCACCGCTCTCCCAGCAGACATCCCCAGCCGGGGTGCCCACGGCCATTCCCCCCCCCCAAGGGCAGGCCTGTGCACGGAGGGCCCAAGACTGCCCCTGCAGGTGTGTGGCCACCCCCCACTGAAGGAAAACCACTGGCCCAAGAAGGGTCTGTCCTATTGAGCCCCCCCCCCCGGGCAGCTTCTTCAGGAGGGGGTCTCAGGGCCAGCTTTTTCCAGTGGCTAGAGAGATACACCCCACCCACACCCACATGCAGAGACGTCCATTGTCCCCTGGGCACGCTCAGCCTGGGGGGGGGGATGCTCTCAGCCGCGAAGGGCGAGGCTCAAACCCTGGTGTGTGTGTGGGGGGGGGGGGGTCACGCCCCCCCCCAGCCGCCCGCCCGCTTCAGCAGGCCTCCCCAAATGAAAGCCATCCCTGCCGGGAGGACCAGTCCCCCTCCCAAGAGCCCCCTGCGAGGGAACCACCCCCCCTCCGGCCATGGTCTCTCAGTCCCGAGGGACGCGAGTCTATCCACACAGCACATGGTGGGGAAGGACGGTCACGGCGGGCCTGAGCAGTTTCTGGGTCGGCACCTCCAGGGCCCCGGGGAAGGAGCAGGCCCTCTCTTGCCGTCCCACCCCCACAGCTTGCCCGAGGGGACCAAGTGCAGAGCCAGCAGCGGCCTTTGGGAAGGAGAGAGGGCGGCGTTCCCACCCCCCACCCTCTTCCTGCAGCCGGAGGCAGAGCAGGCCTCCAGGTATTCCTCGGTGTCCAGCAGGCAGACAAGGCGGCTGGGGCTGGGGGACAGGAAATCAGCTTGGGAGGAAGAGCG